TATATTTATATATACATTATAATATTATTTTGTTTGCCGTCATAATGGTATCAGTCATCTTAACGCGAACATAATATAATAAATGACCTTCTTGCAGGTTCGTGGGGCTTTTTATTACATAATAATAACTCATTTTTAATGTATCCAACTTATATTTAATTCATGTATTATTATATATTATGTATCTACCATGACTAATGACTATCACCAGATATTACTTATTATTTTGAAAAAATTGAAAAATATAATTAACCTTCAGGATTCATTCACAACATTTACAGTGTTTCACACCTAAACTAAACTCCAGCCTATACGTACATAACCGTAATTGACCTGCACTGATCACATCACGGGCAACATCCACAATGTTTTTTTTCATCATTATTAAAATATTGTTTTTGATTCAAGAATACAAAATAGAGTTTATCTTTCAATATTTTTTTTTCACTTTATACAAGAATTTATATAATCATGTACCTAGATTAAAGATGGTATAGGTATCCATGCCTAAAGTTCTAAAATCATGTACCTACCTAGTTTTCAATTCCATATAATTAACGTTTGATTAAAATATTGTTTACATTAATCGGACCACAGAACGTTGAGCATGTTACGACTTAAACTTTTATAAAATATGCCTATATATATCAATGTCCATAAATTAATAATCTTTAAAAAAAATCAATTTGTTAGTATTTTAATCATTTTTTATAGTTTTCTTTTTGTACGTACCTATATGAATATGATAATTCCAAAAAGTTACAAAAGTATAATTATATTATTTATTTCTATAGCTAAATAGTTATCGATATTTATATATTGATAAAAAAAATGTAAAAATGTTGTACAATACATGTTATAATCACTTCAGTATAAATATTAAAAAATATATAATGGTTAATAGATATACTTTAGTCTAAAGTTAAATAAGGGCATCACTTTTTTTATGGCACACGGGTAGGTATCAATGGCGTAACCCGGGTGGCTGGGAGCTGGAGTTCCCCCTCACCCAAAATGTTTAGAATATAAATTAAAAAATTATTTTAATGGTCTATGAAAGTCGATAAAAAAAAGTCTTGAATTGTATTTAAAATATAGAAGGAAAATGCATAATTGCTGTTATTATTTTTTTTTTTTTACAATTTATATCGTTATAATTATTAAAGATTTTTTWCATAGTTAATTGTTTCAATAAATACTAATAAATAAAAATGGAAATGTTAGTACCTACTTATAAAATTTAATCGAGCTGAGCAGTAAACCAACATTTCCTTTCCAATCCAATTCAGCTCGACTAAAACATTTACGTTAGTCTTTAAATATAACTACCTAAGTGCTTGCTTATAATAAAATATTAATTAGGTATTCAGTCGAAATTCAAATTTAATGAATGTAAATTCTTAGGAAAATATTCGGCTTTTTCAAAAAATTGTATTTTGTAATGACTTAAAATTATGTGTAAACAAATATTAATTTAGTTTATAGTGTTAGAGACAATTAGTTTACTGTTTAAAAAAAATACACTGATGTTTGAGGCAATTTCTCCAAAAAAATTTAGGTGGGTAGGTAATTTTGTCAGGGTGTAAAAATATGCTTTTAGTTTACTCATTATTGAATAAGTAATATGTTGCATTTAATTTAGTGTAATAAATTAACATTATATAAAGGTATATTTTTTTACATTATATTTACTTTATGCGTTAGCACATATTATTTAGGTAATAGGCAACAAAACATACGCTGTATTTTTATTGTATGTATAGTTCCTCTAAAACTGGAAAGATAAAATAATAATTATATACGTAAACTACACGTATGTAATGTATTTATTATTGGCAATTATAAGGTTTATAATAAAATAAAATTATACATGGCACGTTTTAATCCTACTTGTGCGTGGGTGGGTAGCCTAAATATTTTTCCTCGTAGATAAAATATCTGTAACGCCAATGGCGTGTACAAAAGCTTGGCTCAATCTCCAAATTGTTATTTTATTCTAAAGAATCGCGTTCAACGTTGTCAAGAGACAAGAGAGTCAATTATTTTTTTTATAATTTCATAAAATGATTCATAAAAATTCATGGTTAGGTGGTCTATATTTAATAAATCTAGGTAGGTATATGAGATATATATAATTTGTGCTTAATTTTCAGACAACCATTTGGTACTATACGTACCTATTATATCTAAGTGGGGTAAAAATATAATTATTTTTAATTTCATAAGCCGAATGGCGTACGAAAGGGTAGGATTCTAGTGTTCTAATCCCCTTGAAAATTCTTTCTTTTACAAAAAAAAATCTTATTTACCATAATTTCAATACACGGAGTTGACCAATTGTTGCTAATTTTTAATAGATATAAAATAAATTGTTAATTGTAATTTGTTATAACTTATAACTAGGGAACGGACATTTATGTCATAAAAAATAAGAAAAATAAAAATAAACTAAAAAAATGCCCTAAAAAACTTTAAAAATATACATGAATTTAATAAAAACACAATTTCGAATTTAAAACTTATACAATAAATATTTAAATACAATAAAAACTATAATATGTAGCAACTTTTTTATACGCGTCAAAAATGATTTCGTCTGGGTTTATCTAATCGGTAAAACTATACCTAATAAATATTTATTTTTATTTGTTTAGAATGAATGTTCATACATTTTAATGGAATTTTATCCATTCCTATATAAAAATGACTTAAAAACATATAAAATGTACTAAAAGTATAAAAATGTCAAAAAGTGCTCTAAAAATGTAATTAAGTCTTAAAATCCAAAACAATGCAAAATTAAAATTAAATTTTTTAATTCCTTGATGTATGAAATGAACTCTGTGCTTGGAAAGCAATGTTTTTGGACATTCAAATCCATTCCCTTCTTATAATTAAACTAATTTAACAAAACTGTTCAGCAATAAAAAATAATGTAAATCAATAACTGACCCAACTAGAATCCTGCGTACACTACTGCATAAGCCACATGATTATTGTTGATGTGCATGGCGTTTGTTATTTTTGGTTAAACATGCATAGCAATAAAAATATTTTCATCGCACATTAATTAATTAAGAAATATTATAAACAAAGTGAGCATAGTAATAGCATGAAAAATGGTAAAACTCAAATCTTTGTATGGATGAACCTTTTTAAAATGTGAATTTTGCCAAATCCTTTGTTATAATGCACCAGTTTCAAGGCAGTATGAAGGTGATCTACCGTATACCACGAAATTTTCAAGTCTCCAGCTATCATAGTTTGATGTACGTTGGTCAACCAAATTTTAATTTTCCAGATAAATTTTACAATTTTTTCCCCTGCTAAAAGTAAGAACCTTATAAGGATCATTAAACGCACATAAAAAAAAAAAATCAGAAAAAAAAAATTCTATTACCTTACCAATGAGTAGTTGGAATAATTAAGCTTTTCTCTGTTGATTTAAAAATAATCCATCAAATTATTGAAATGTTTAGTTTAAGTACCTATTATACATAAATCTAATATAAAATAAATAAATTCAATACTAAAACAACATAAACACTTCGGTTCTTTTTCTTAATAAAATAATTTTGTACAGCGACATATTTTATTAGGTTAGATAGACACAGTCATTCTTTATCTGATTTAGGTACAATAATTGTACCTGGTACATATAGGCAAGGCTGGGTAAGTTAACGATTTTTGTTAACTCGTTAAGTTAAGTTATTTTAAAATAATAAAGTTAATAGTTAAATTAAAAGTTAATCATATTTTTTTCGTTAACTCGTTAAGTTAAAAGTTAACTTTGAAAAAAAAAGTAACTGAACTTAGTTTAAAGTTAAAATTTTCTATTTTGCAAAAATAAAAATTGCACACATAATATTGGTTTTTTTACACTCAAGAAAAATACTGGGGACATTTTTTTAAATGATACATAAAAGTATTAACTAGTTATCAAAAAACCTACTTTTCCAAAATAAATCTTAACCCTGAACTCATACTCGAATCAATTTACCCAAGTGGAA